ACTTACCACCGCTTAAGCTTTACTCTTTGAAATTACACACTTTAAGCTTTGAAATTACGCAAAATTACCATAATGCCACAGCATTTTTTAAGTTTTCTTCATTCTTGGCTATTGATTTCGGCTAAATCAATGGCTGAGATTTCATCCCATTTCTTACCTAGAGACCTCCTTTGCATTTGATGTGTATATATATATACTCTTTACACCCCGCAAGGCCTCAAGTAGCATTTTTTTTTACAAAATATTAATAATTCCTACTATGTGAGTAGGACAAAAACAGAACACTGCCTCAATCAGAATTAAATTGAAGAGGGCGAGATCAGTTCAATTAGTTGTTTAGAGCTTGAAAAAAAAAAAAAAACTGTTGTATATTATTTTTGATCAGCAACGTAATCTAAGCATTCAACAACTGTAAGTAATACATTGAAGGAAAAAATTCTCACGAGTGGAGATACCAGCAGACGAGCTCCAAAGAGTTATAGTGTAATCAAAATCCAAAAATTCAAAATACTCACAAAGCACCGAGCAAAAAGATCACCTGAAATTACGACAAAGCTCCGGCACACTCATTTTATGCCGCAAATTCGAGCTAGGCTGTTTAAGCCTGACACAGAACACCGTGGCCGGACCCGCAGGATCCTCCTCCATAGGATCTTCCGCTGCCGCCGTCTCCTTCTCGGTATTCACGGCGTCGTTCTCGGCAACTTGAGCCTTCTCGAGAGCTTCAAAAGCTGCGTTTGAGGTATCAAAAGATGACTCCCCCTCCGCCTTTGTAACAGCAGCTGATTCTGATGCTGCCGCCGTTGGTGGAGTCGTGGGATTGGTGCTCATTTGAATAAAGACAAAAGAAAGTCCAAAAAAATATGAATTGATTAAAGTTTGCGTATATGTAGAGAGAGAGAGAGAGTGGTGCCGAAAGTCTCCGATTGAAGGCGACAGGAACCGGTGGATGAGAAAGAGCGGTGTGGGGTTTTAGGTTGGACCCTTGGAGTACAGATTTCGCGGTACGGATAGGTGCGGCATTTCCACTATAGTCTGTTGCGATGTTGAATTTTTATTATAGCCGTGTGATATCATTGATTTTACTTGGCATATTTTAAGGCGGCTTAGGCATTTTAGCTAGAGTTTTTTTTTTTTTTTTTAAGTACAACCGACTCTGTTATAATGTAATACGAAGTATATGTTTATACATATTTTTTCAATTTTTGGGAGAGTCATATTTATACCGTTTGACCACAAGATCTTTGACACTAGCTAAAGTTAATTATGCTTGTTTTTCTAAATTATATCCTAGACTTTATGAAATCCCGCATATTTTCAGTTGATGCGTACAAAAAAAAAAAAGAAAAAAAAAAGAAGTTATTATCAATGATTTATGGGGTGTGATCTACCATGTCATCAAAACCTCATGGAACCTGAAAAATGGTAAATGCAAGAATTTTAGGAATTTGTATATAAAATTGGATCTTATTTTAAACTATAAGGGGTTAATTGAGCACTTGTGAGTAGTAGATGTGTCAATTTGACACTTCTGTATTATTCTTTTTCCAACTCGAATTGCAATTTATTTCCTTTTTAGTTCTCTCCCCTAGCCATGCTATATTTATGATTATAGAATAAAAGTTGAGAATAAATTTAGGGTGTGTTTGGTTCGCACATGTGAATCGGAATAGGAATCAAATACTTTGTAATGGTAATGAGTTTTGTGAAAGTAATTTGCATGTTCGGTAGTAGGGTGAAATTATAATGATTACTAATATTGATATTTGGTTGTGTATGACTCTATAATAGGAATAAATGTTTTAGGGAGAAGTGTCAAATAGGTACATCTACTACTTCCAAGTGTCCAATTCCCACCACGAAGTAAATTAAAGGCTAATTAACCACACTTACTGCTAAATTTGTTCAATTGGCTTTTTTGCAGATTGCTAACAGGTTACCAATCCAATTATTAAAAAATAATTTAAAAAAAAAAAAAAAAAACAGTATTTATAGGACAACAGTGGTGGGAAAGCAAAAATTCAAACGCGGCAAGTGGAGCCCGAATCCCGAGGCGTGTGGATGATGACGTGTGGCGGACAAGACTTCTCAGCGATGCTAGCCTAAGCCAACTGACCAGACTGGGAAGTCAGCCTTTGAACTCGCCGACTGGGGTGCGACCAACTGCTTTCATCCCATACCCTTCCACTGATGCCCTCGTCAGGTCTAGGCTGGGGGGGGGGGGGGGGGGGGGGACTTCATGATGGGAATTATACCCTGCACATACGGCGACCTACGGTCGGGCAGCGCTGCGGGAAGAACGCTCGGCTAGTCGTCCTGCCCGATTACCAGTAAGCCCCGGCCGCTACCCGATCACTCGTTCAGGTGGACCCCTGCGCTCCGCCCGACAGGCGACCCGGGTTCGGCTGGTAACCGAGGGGTAAGATCGGGTAGCTCAGCGGTCCGTTTCAGCCAAGTTGAAGGCTCAGCTATCGCCAGGAGTCACCTGCCACGTGTTCTGCTGCATGCCTTCCCCCGCGGGACCCGGTGGTAGACATCCTCTCCTTAAAGAGAAAATGGGGGGAGGGAGGGCGTTTCAGTAAAAGCACCCGGGCTGAGCCCCCGGCCTAGTTTTTGGGGGTGCAAAATTAATTTAAAAGTAGATAAAGACTTCAGAAGAGAGATCGGATCTTACCACTTGAAGAGTAGCTACGGGCACTGTGACGGTCGAAGCAGCCTATGAAGTGGGAGAGACAATATGGGAATCTCTGCAGTCAGCCGAAAAAAGGGGTTTAGCGAGCGAATGGAGTTAAAAAGGATGATGCCTCAAACGTCATGGACTATGGCTCCGGGCAGTCTTTCCATGAATAAGAACATTGTAATTAAGAGCTTCCCGGTCACGTTGTATGATCAGTCAACCTTTTATTGTATCATACTGTTATGGTGATTTTATACACGTCATTTGGCGCCATCTGTGAGGACCGGTCAAAAAGGTTACATACCTCTACCGATCCTCAAAACCATGTATCCCTTCATGGATTTCCTCAACGGCGAAAACGTCAACGATACTCAACCGGACTTGCGGACACACCTGAACGCTCGAGTGGACCTCAACCAGCCACCGGAGGGAGTGTTCCAGCAGCCAGAACCGCCGTATAGAGATATACCAGCGTACCCCGCGTATCAAGCCCCCGGAATGCACTCGAGGATGGTCGACCCTACTTACCACTTTACCAGTGGTGGGCAGGTGCCCCGCGGTTTTACGCCTCAGCGTATCCCCCACCGCCAGTGCCCGGGATGTACCCACCGCAGATGTACACCCCCGTGCACAACTACCCAATTGCGGGCCCGGCCTTTGGCCCGGGTTAAACGAGCCAGCGATCGGCCGGGCACAGTCTGTGCATGCACCGTCGACCGCACATCCGGCAGTGCAAACACCGTCGCGCCGACCTGCCAGATCTCGTCTGGACTCGGTTGATCGGACAGGCGAGCACGCTCCCCGTACTAGTGCATTCGATCGGCGAGCCTGGCACGATAACAGGAAAATGTCATGATGCGTAGTATATTTGCAAACAAATAATTCTCGGAGTACGAGTTATCGATCCACAGGGAAGTGGTTGTATCAAGCACTAGTTACTAACTTATTCATTAGAGCTAATCCTAACAATTACTTAGATGATTGATTGGCATAAAATAAATAAAATAAAACAGAGGTTCAGGATTTTGAAAACAATTAGAGAGAAGTTGAGATTCATGGGATTCAAGTATTTAATCACCTAGTGCCAATTATCGTTTGCAATATTTAGTTTGGAATTAAGATTTGTGTGGGAACGCAAAGTGGAATCGAATTACTCCCGTAATCTCTATTCCTAGTGAATTTCCACTCCCATGGCTTAAACACCCAATAAGATCAAAGATCAGCATTCAATTATTCCTAATTACTACCATCTCCCGATTGGCAACAATCTAGAATAAACTTCCCCTAATAAGTTCCCCTTTCCCAAGGACCAACCATTAGGTGCAATCGTGTGTGCCCTAATTTATGCCCCAACTCCCATTGGTGACACAAACATGGCTATGAAGCTAGTAACTATGGCCATTAATTACAAGCATCAAACAATATTATCACGATTGCAACACAAGTATTAAACCCAAATAATAATATATTAAAGAAACTGAGAGCTCAAGCACATAGGTTCATAAACACTTTTACCCAAGAATCTCTAAAGAATTTAGCCAAGCATGACTAAATTATACATAGCAAATATAAATAAAGAATTACAAATCATCAAAAGAGTACAAGAATTAACTAGACGATTTTCCCAAATCTCTCTAGTCTTCTTCTTGCTTTCCAAGACAACTTGTGGCTCTTGATTTCTCTCCTTCTTGTCTCCAAGAATCTCTGAATTCTCCCGGTCTCTGTTATTAGGGTTGAGGAAGGAGGGATTTTATAGTGGGTATAAAGTTGAGATGAAATAGGAATCTTGTACCAAATTGGACTCAAATTCTAATTCCTATATTTAAATAAAGAAATTGTCGTCTTTAATGATATTTAGAATTTGGAAGATTCCTTGAATTGCTAACTTTTAATATGGAGATATGAGCCTTGAAATCCGCGCAATTGATATTAGGAAAAGAGATCTCGCGCTTGTATTGAATTTTGCCCAGCTGCGCCACTTTAAGCGTCTGTTTTTATCCCAGAAACAGACGCATATTCGACGCGTCGAGACTTCCTGTGCGCGAATTAGTTAGCTACTGGAAAATTTCGACGTGTCGAGTCCACTGGGCCCCGAACTCATCCAAAATTGCTCCAAACTCATCCTTGAACTCCCCTTGGTCATATCCTTGACCTAAAATGGTTCAAAAACACTAACAAACACCGTAAAATATTCAAAACAAGTGCGAACCATAATTAAATGATAATAGCAAGGAAAACATGTATTAAATAAGCAAAATTAAAGAGCTTAATTACTGTGATGATTCAAAATAACCGTAAAAACAAGCACAGATGTGATAACATCATGTCACTTGACTGGTCGGCATCTAGTCGAGCCGACGAGTCAGACGAGGTCAGTTCGTCTCGAAGCCACCGTCACCATGACAACTGCCAAGGTGCTCAGGACGGCGTCCCCCCAGGATCATGGAGCAGGTTCGTCAAGAGTTCAATCGGTGGAAGCAAGAACAAACGTCGCAAGCCCTCGGGCTCGACGCTGCCTTGCTATACACCACTTTTTCCCTTGGAGATCATGCAGCAGCAGTACCCGATCGACCTTCGCATCCCAGGGGCGAAGGACTACTCTGGGAAGACAGACCCGGAAGAGCATGTCAACTCTTTCTACGGGAACAAGATAATGATGGGAGTGTCAGATGGCGTGATTTGCCGAGCCTTCTTTTCTACCTTGTCAGGCCGTGCGGCTGAGTGGTTCAAGCCTCTGGAACCGGGCTCAATAACATGTTTCGCCGACTTGGCGATGAAATTTGTACGACGCTTCGCAACATCCCGAACCGTTAGGAAGCACTTTACTCATTTAGAAGCGGCCAAACAGATGGAAGGGGAGTCGTTGACCAACTTCCTTGTTAAATGGAAGAATGCCATAGGCGAAGTTAAGCCGATGGATGACATGACAACAATTAATGTACTTCATTACTCCCTCCGAGCGGGCGCACAGTACCAAGATTTTATAGTGCACCCTCCGCATACGTATGATGAGGCCATTCGCAGGGTCACCGATTATGCTAATGCCATGGAGGCAAACTCAGCAAAGAGACGCCAGGAGTTCGGTTCCGGACGGCGTGACAACCGCTCTGACCAGAGGCGGGGTGACCTTCAGCAAGGGTCCCGAGGCAGACTAGATGATTTATCCAAGCTGACCCGACCGGCGGCAGAAATCCTTGACTACGCACAGGGCTGCAACCTGATCCAGCTACCAGAGCCCGGCCGTGACGGCCGGGATACGACTAAGTACTATGCGTACCACCGGAACCGAGGGCACACCACGGAGGAGTGCCGAGTCCTGAAGGAGGTGATAGAGGACCTCCTGAAGGAAGGCGAGTTGACTCAATTCATAGAGAAGAAAGACAAGGGCAAGAGGTGGAAGAAGTTATTTAAGAGGTCGGACAAGCATAAGAAGGACAAAGACCAGGACCCCGACGAAGAACCCCGGTCATCCGACTCCAAACAAGTTCATGTCATATTTGGAGGCCCGGAAGGGGGAGATAGCTCCGAAGAACGACGTCAATGGTGTCAAAACCTATATGTCGGGATCATTGAAGACGGTTGAAACGATAAACGCCCCTGGATGGAATCCATCACCTTTACAGAGATCGATTTGCCCCGAAATCCTGACCATGGTACTGAAGCCCTAATAGTTACTATTGCCATCATGGGGGTAAACTTCCATAGGGTGATGTTTGACACGGGAAATAGCGTCAATGTCCTGTACATGAACGTGTTCAACAAGTTAAAGCTTGATCGGGCCAAGATGACCCCCGTGCGTACCCCTTTGTCCAGATTCACCGGGGACATAATCAAACCGGAGGGAGCAATCAGGTTGCCCGTCGAGGTCGGGACCTATCCAAGAGTCCGAATGGTGGAAATGGAGTTCGTTGTTGTCAACCTGGCCTGCGTCCACAATGTCATTATGGGACGCCCAGGAATCGCCCAGATCGGGGCTATCATCTGCATATCGCACCTATGCATGAAGTTCCAGACACCGGAAGGAGTGGGTACGTTAAGAGGAGACGTCTGGTCGGCCCAAAGATGCTACGTGAAGGCTGTCCAAAAGCACGATGTTGGGCCTTCTCGCGTCAATGCCACTACGGGGAAGACCCCGTACGAAAGGAACAGCCCGAGCCAGCTGAAGAGATAGACGAGATTCCCCTGTTCGATGACTCCCCCGGGAGAACTGTCCGGATAGGGAAGGCGCTACTGTCCGAGCAAAAAGATTCGATCTAGGCGGTCTTGAGGGAGTATGCAGATATCTTCGCCTAGGGACCAGAGGATATGCCCGATATAGATAGGGTTGTGATCTGCCACCGCCAAACCAGTCAAGCAGAAGCAGAGACACCTCTCCGTTGATAGGCATGAATTTGTGCATCAAGAAATCAAAACCTTGAGCGCGATCGGGCACATACGCGAGGTCGTCTACCTGGACTGGGTCGCTAATGTAGTCCTGGTGCTAAAGCCGCCCACATGGCGCATGTGCATAGATTTCACGGACCTCAACTGAGCGTGCCCGTTAGACCCGTACCCCCTCCCGAGTATCCACCAGATGGTCAATGAAACTGACGGGGCAGAGCTGATGAGCTTCATGGACGCCTTCAAGGGCTACCATCAAATTATGATGGCTGAGGAAGATGATGCCAAGACATCTTTTGTGACACCAAACGGGCTATACTGCTACCGCGTCATGTCATTCGGCATGCACAACGCAAGAGCCACGTACCAAAGAATGATTAACATGTTGTTCGAGAGCTTGATCGGGAAAACGATGGAGGCCTACGTAGACGACATGCTAGTCAAGAGCTCGCAAGGAGGAGACCAACATCTAGACCTCCGGTCTTGCTTTGAGATTATGTGTCGTTACCGCACGCGGTTAAACCCGAGCAAGTGCACATTCGCAACCCAGACCGGGAAATTCTTGGGCTTCATGATGACCAAGCGAGGCATCGAACCAAACACGGCCAAGGTAAAGGCAATTTTGGACATGCAACCACCTCGCACCGTCTGGGAGGTCCAGCAGCTGACCGGAAGACTGGCGGCCCTCAGCCAATTCCTGTCCAAGCTGGCTGAGCGAGCGCTCTCGTTCTTTTAAACGTTAAGGAAGGCGAGTACGTTTGCGTGGGACGAAGAATGTCAGGTGGCCTTCCAGGAACTGAAGGAATACCTGATGTCCCCAGTGGTGTTGTCAAAACCCGAACCAGGAGAAGATTTGGAGGTCTACTTGGGGGTCTCCGATCGACGGCCAGGGTATTCAGAGACCGGTTTACTACGTCAGTTATGCCCTCCAAGGACCAGAGACCCGGTATTCTCGGTTAGAGAATGTTGTTTTTGCCCTGTACACTGCAACGAAAAAGCTCACCCCCTACTTTCAAGGTCGGACCGTCCGAGTGCTCACCGACCAACCCATAGGTGCTATACTCCGCACCTCTACCTCCTCCAGTCGCTTGGTCAAGTGAGCGCTAATGCTAACGCAATTCGCCATCAATTACAGGCTGCGGCCGGCGATCAAGGGTCAAGCGTTGGGCGACTTCATGGTTGAATACACGGTCCGAGAGATGAACCGACCAGTGCAACCCGACAGTGACGAGCCATGGTGGGAGATGTCCACCGACGACTCCAAGCAGCAAAAGGGGAGCAGGCGGGGGTGTTGTGATCACCAGCCTGGAGGGTTTCAAACTATACTATGCCATAATCTTTCGGCTTTCTCCAATGAACAACGAGGCAAAGTACGAGGCCTTTATCTCTGGTCTCTGGTATGCCAATAACCTAGGTGCGACCTACGTCCGGGTACGCACCAACTCGGCGTTAGTTGTCGTCAGGTGCTCGGGAACTTCGAGGCAAACGGTGATCGACTAATCCAGTACCGGGATCAGGCCACATCGAAGCTAGTCGAGTTCAAAGGGTATTTAGTTGAGCACGTTCCCCAACTAGAAAATGTAGACGCATACATCTTGTCCAAACTCGTCCAAGAGGCGCCCGAACACATCTCCAAAATTGCTTAGATAGAAGAGGTGCCATGCGCTAGTATTGACCAGCTCCCGGTGGCACCGATCAAGACGGCAAAGGACAGTTGGATCATGGACTTGATCGAATACCTGCAAGAGGAACGGTTGCCTGAAGACCCCGAGAGCGCCCGGAAGGTAAGGCTGCGAGCACCCCGATTCCAGGTAGTGGACGGTCGTCTATACCGCAGATCGTACGGGGGGGCCCTGATGAGATGTTTGAACAACTTTGAAGCAGAACTAGTAATGACTGAGTTGCACTCAGGGATTTGCTCAGCACACCAGGGGGTAGAGCCCTTGCCAGAAGAATAATGCTGATAGGGTACTACTAGCCATCCATACAACTAGATTGCATGAGATTGGCTCGGGATTGTGAGGCCTGTCAGATTTTTGCCAAAGTGCCCAGGAGGTCGGCCACGTTTTATCAACCTGTCAGTACAGCCATCCCGTTTTCCTGGTGGGGGGTCGATATCGTTGGTCCGTTTCCCCAGTTGACGGGAAGAAGAAGGTTCATCATTGTGGTCATCGACTACTTTTTAAAGTGGATTGAGGCAGAGCCGTTAGCGACGGTTACATCCCAGCAATGCGCAAGGTTCTTGTGGCGCAACGTGGTCTCCCGATTTGGCGTCCCCGTGCAACTGGTCACGGATAATGGGAAGCAGTTTGAAGGGAGCTACTTCTAGAACTTCCTTGCGACAATCGGGACAAAAGCAGTGAGGGCGTCCGTAGTGTACCCTCAGGGGAACGACCAGGTCGAGAATGCCAACCGGATGATCTTGGAGGGCTTGAAGAAAAATCTGTACACTACAAGGCGAAGCTGGGCGGAAGAACTGCCCTACATCCTTTGGGGTTACAGAACCACGCCCCGGGAGGCAACCAAGGAAACCCCTTTCGCCCTAGTATATAGTGCAAAGGCAAGGCTACCGGTTGACGCTTGGCTGCCGACCGCCCGAGAAAGAGAGTTTGACCCATACGCAAACGACTGGATGATGGCGTTCGAACTGGATTCAGTTGACGAGAAGCGAGACTGAGTCGCGCGGATGATAGTTGAGTACCAGAAACGAAGACTTACCATGACGCAAGTGTCCGCCCCAGATACTTCAAAGTGGGCGTAAGACTGGGTCTGTCCTGGTCTAGCGTAGTTAGTTGCATACTGTGGATGACAACCGACACCATGGACGGAGACTCGATCGACTCAATGCAAAAGATAGAAGCAAGGACATAAACAAAATTCAAGTTAATTTAAATTTTAGCTCGGCACAAAGGGGGCCGGGCTCCCCGAGTCAAAAGTGCGATACGCAAACAGCCCGAAACAATCACGGGGTCGGGCTCCCGTTTATGGAACCTACGCTTGGGGAGGCGCCTGCGAATGGGACTCGCCGGGAGGAGGTTGATCGGCGGCCGACGGGGTGTCGAATGGCTTAGGACCGGGATCAGGTACCTCGTCGGGGAGGACTCTTAAAACCAGCGCCAAGTCGTCGTTGTTGAGCGAGGCGGCCAAGGCGTCCTTATCCTCCCGCTGCCCCCAGTACTGACCGGCGCTAAAAACCCATTTGGCCAGGGTCCAGGCCAGTTCCTCACCGACCGGGTTCTTTAGAAAGTGCCAGAAGAAGTCTTCAGCCTCCCCCCGATCGCGGCACACCCGTGCAGCGAGCGCTCCCGGGTTCTCGAGCAGCTGCTGGCTTTCTTTTGCTTGGAGGGACCTCCTCGACCTCCGTGTCCGTCGTCTTCTCCTTCCCCCTCTTGGTATGGCCACAGACAACTTGCAAATCCTGGTCGGAGGTGACCGGTTGGGTTGACGTCACGTTGAGGGGTAAGGAAACAGTCGAGTCCGCGGACAGCTGACCGGTGGGAGCCGTCTTCTTCCCCCCGAGGGTGATCTTGGGCCAAGGCCCGCTTGAGGACGCCGGTGCAGCCATGAAGCCCTTATTGAAACTCATACCTGAAAAGAAGAACCAGGAAAAGGGTTAGTAAGCAAAGCCGTTTCGATCGTTTGAGCGGGCTAAGCCTTTTGAAAAAAAAAAAAAAAAAAAAAAACCTCCGGTCGCAGGCTGGGGTCCGAGAGGAGGTATGGCTATAGTGATGGCTATCCGCTGGGGCTCGTATTTCTTGGGCAAATCGTATCTGGGGGGGCTCAAGACGAGCTGCTGTGAAGGCTTCTAGGGTCCTAAAGAGGTGGTAGTCGTAGAACTCGAAGGATATCTTTGTCACGGCATCTGCAAGCTCGGGGGTCTCCTCCGGAGTTGTTTGTTTGATCTAGTGGCTGGCCCATTCCCGGGGAACCGGGAGATTGTCCGGGAGGTGAAGTATACTGCAGAGATGGCCGTGTGACTAGGCCTGCAAGAACCCGGACCCGTATCTTGGCGCCAACGGCCGAACGGAGTAAATGAAATCAAATAGTTCCATGGTGCACGCAAGGCCATGCCGGGCACAGATTTGCGGAAAGCACGCGATGATACGGTGCGCGTTCGGCGTGATTTTCCCGAACAGGACCCCATAGTGCTCAAGAAACGTGAGCAAGAAGGGGCTGAACGGGAAGGTCAAGGGAGCCTTCAGG